CAAAGACTCATTTATGGCCTAGGAATCTGAATTTGCATCCACAACCCTTAGTATAAAAATGTTACCTAGGTTTTTTATGAACTGACTTGAGCGTCCGAATGTTTTCCCCTGGGACCCCTCCCGACGTTTTTCAGGTGACCAGAGACGTCGAAGCGGTTTGCACCAGTGATCTAAGATCCAGACCGGGTCAGGGAACAATTTGCGCAATAGGTGGATTTGGGGAAACGACATGTGAATTGATTTTGGGAAACAATCCTATTTCTTAATTGATTTTGGTGTGAAAAATCTATAAAAAAAAAGCCTTCTCATATATGCCGTGGAATTGATAATTAAAATTAATAAAGCCACCTATACGACTTATCTAGAGATTTAACCTCAATAACTATTCGTAACAAGATGATAAACGAAAATGACAGATCACCAAACCAAATAACATACAATACAATTACGAACAAATCTACTATATACGAGCTAGCTTGAACAATTCTCACCTTTTGGCTCTAAAAATTATTAATTAAATTAGAAGGTGTGAAACGGGGGCAAAATGAGTGCGGTCCCACACAAGAGAAGTGCACCATAAGAGGGTTAACACAAATGAAATCCAAGAACCTTCAAAATCAATTGGTGATGAGAGAAGTAGCCCACTAGACTTATATACTAGGCTCATTTATCCCGTCAAATCAATATGAGACAACTCACAGGCATATGAACAATCACCCCAAAAATAACAGGGCGTACCGCGTCCGTGTATGTTTTGTGTAATATAATTAGCCACGTGATTTTTTTTTTGGTACAGGGACCTTCCGCTTTCTGGATCCACAGGGGAACCGACTAATCCGGAATCGAGTCGGGTAGGACTACAAGGGCGGCAAAGCTCTCCCTAAAAAATTTTAACACTGCTGCATTTCCAAGACAAAGCCATGTGATTTTTAATTTAAGGTTAGTTCATTAATTATTTTATTTTGCCCTAAATATGATAAGGCCACCGCTTCTGACTACAACTCTTTTTCAAACAAAAACATTCAAACATGGCATTATGCAATGCAATGATAAAGTCAAAAGATCACAATGTTGAGTGTGAACAGTCCACATAACAACAACAGTTTTCTCAATACTAATGCTCCTTTCATAATATTATTATCTTCAATGTGAAGTGTGAACATCCAAATAACTACATCGGTTTTCTCAAATATTAATTGCTACGGCCCAGCTAACTAGCTAACCCAGTTGACGTTTTAAAGTCAAATATTGCAAATGAATAAAAATAAATTAGAGACTAATTTCTCCTATTCACGATGAACACATATTAATATGTCCACTGCTTATATGGATTATGTATTTTTTGAAACATATTAACATTACTAATGTGTGCATGTTACATAAGTAGTGTACATATTAACATGTGCTCACCGTGAGTAACAAGCATCATTACTCACAAACTAGAACGGTAGTTGTCTAGTTGAACAACTCTTAGACCAAAAAGATTTTTTTTTTTTTTAAACAGAAAAAGATAGAAAAAAGTAGTGTGACCATGCTGAAGTGATGCTGTATAATATTTTATTATCCTCCTTTACGACTCTGGCTAATATATTGGACGTGTATCATACTCGTCTTATGCTCTCGGGTTTCAAGAAATTTGGATTGAAGACGAGTAGTTTTAGCTCAGTGCGGCAAACAAATCGAATGTTCGCGAATAAAAGTTCGTTCGAGTTTGTTCGTGTTCGACAACAGTTTGTTCGTTTGTTAACAAGAGAAGAGTCACCCCAAAGATTGGGGTGGGCTCCAGCCCAATCTTAATTTTTCGGCTTTGCTAATTTTGTACTCGTAAAAAAAATATTTTAACCCATGTTATATTTAATTAGTTTAATATTAATCTTATTTTAGCACAAAATAAGTTACATTTATTTTACATTTAAATCAATGAATTACATATTTAAATATGCTTTTAGTTTCTTTCTACTTTTTTTTTTTAGATTATTATGCCTCTTTTATGTCATTTTTTTTTTGTTTATTTTCTTATTATTTGATTAATTAAATATTATGTGAATTTGATTGTGTTAGACTTTCATTAACATATTTAGTATGTAACCGAATTTAGCGATGTAAAATCAAGTACTTCTAATTGATTTTTAAATAAATGATAGTTGATTAATGAAATTTACTACTACATCTCATTTATTTGTCTGACGAAATTAACGAAATGACATATGTACGTAAAATGACATGACATATAAAAAGAATGACGAGACTATTACAATATTTTATAGCAATTATTTTACTAAATTATGTTATTTTTTAATTAAATTTAAAGTACATGAGAAAATTCATCTCTATACATTTAAAAAAAAAATAATGAGATAATTAAAAATAAATATATGTCATATTCATAACAAAGTAGTTAAAAAATCAAAGTTGTTAAGTTCATCTCCATATAAAATACGACTAGGTAGAAAATATGATAATTTCTATTTTATAAATGCAACATTCACCTTTTATTATTATTATTTACTGTGTGTTCATGTAATTAATATTTAAATATAAAATTTATTTTTATACTTTGACTTCATGTGTCTGATAGACTTTTCGAATTAGGTAATTCAAGTTCAAATTCGTGCTCATTTAATAAACAAACTGTCGTGGCTTAGCTCGTTTAATAAAAAAAAACTTGAGCTTAGGTTCGACTCTTGAACTCATTTCAAGTCATTTAATAAACCTTAATACTTAGACCAAAATCCAAACTTCTAACTGAATTATTTTCGAACACGCTCGACTTGACTTGTTTGACACACAGCTCGATTAGTTGTTTGAGTTTATTGACAATCGAATGAAAACGAGCTCGTTCGCGAACGTTTGATAATGTTCACAAAC